TTTGGTATCGTGACAACACTAGAAGAAGGTATTTTATTGAACGGATAAATTAGCATATGTAGCTCTCTAACAGAGGAGGGTATTTTCATTATGGTTGTTGTAGCGCTGTGCTGGGGTTAATTTTCAAGAAAGTGCCGTGTTTACTAATGAGTAAAGCTACAGTATCGTCTTCAGCTAGTCAGCTTGAGATCCTTTTCATTTAAACTGGTTATATCTCTTAAGCCTAGTAGTGAATGTTTTATGAGCAGAAGGATAACCATATTCATCCGCACAGTCCCGGAAAGCAGAAGCACACCCAAAACAATGTTCTTCCACACAATGCATGCATTATTTTTAACCGTTAGACGGCCAAAAGTTACATAGTGTACCTTTAATTATCAAAATTGTATAATGATTGCAAAGCAGGGATAATATCTTTGCGTGTTTGAAGGTTTGCACTCCTGTACATGATGTGTGAGTGAGCATAGACATGGATGTGTGCAGTACTTCATAAGACTTCCTTTCATCCCTCGCTACAGCATAAACATCATCTCAGGCACAGACGGCCAGTGTTCAGAGAGCCGTCAGTCAGCCTGGAGGTTTTGATGTGCGAACACACACTCCCGCTGTCACCCCCCGTCAGCCGCGTGGGGTTACACACACCCTCAGAACGCGAGCGAGGGGGAGGGGAGCGTTTCCTGTCACAGCACACACACACATGAGCGCCCGGGTTCCCTCTGCACAGGGGTCAAAGGTCCCCGCAGTGTAGGCTGTCAGAATGCGACTTTAATTAACGTAGATGTCTCACTTGAAGACGTCTCGCTTCTTTTAAAGAATAGAGGAGAGATAATGCGAAACGAGGAGATGCATCTCTATCTGTTGCGCTTCGGGCGGTTCGCATTAATGAACATGTCATTAAGCGAACACACGCACACCAGTAGCTCAAGATAGACTATCTATTTCTGCCGACTTTGTGTAAACTGACTGACAGATCGGCTGACGTGTTTTTAAATGTCCTTTATTCCTTAAGATATTAGCATACACCAACACTATCATTCAAACACCGTTATTGCCATTATTTTAGAAGAAAGAGCCGTACAGGAGGAACATACAGGTTCATGTTTTTATATCATGTCTGTCTTTATTTTCTCTCAACAGTTTTTGTTAATATATATATAAATGACCTTATATGTCCTCCAATTAACCACAAATTTATGTAAATGTATCATGCCTGTCTCGCTCTGTCTCTTGGTTTTTAATTTAATGCATTTTAGTAGCATGATAGATGATTTACATTCATATTACCAAACCATTTGTAGCTTAGCCACCTGCATAACTTTTATTTATTTATTTTATTTGTCTCCGTTTTCCTTTAATTAAACATTTTAGCAACGTATTTGCAAATAAGCAAACAACAAATCTTCATTATAAAAATGTGTATTTTGTTTGAAATGAAACCAGAGCGTTGTTTTTTTTTTTTTTTTTTAGCTGAATGTAGGAAAAGCATTATAAATGGATATGCATATATGTGAGTTGTTTTCTTTTTTCAGCTGGGAGACACTGGCACGTACACCTGCACCGCGTCCACCCCCAGCGGAGAGGCATCGTGGAAGGCTTACCTGGAGGTGCAAGGTACGGCTGACAGACAGACTGCAAGATAACAGACAATAGAGCGGGAAGCCCTGAGAAACCAATGACAGGAAATTAAGTTTAAAATTAAACCTTTGTCCAGCTGTAAATGGCCCTTTCACACATACAGTCTTTACTGGTAAATAGCTGCTAACAGATCATGTGTAAACAGGACCTTTTCAAATATACCGGTAAATTGGTTCCAGCAATTTAGTTGTAAAATTACCGGTATATCCGCCGGGTGAACGCAGAATGAAGGTTACCGGTATTTTGTATGTACGAGGTCAGAACGCGCAGACTTAAGAAGAAATTTGGGCCAATCAGAAGCCGTTGAAAGAGCATCGGTTCTGGGCCATTCATAAAATTATGACACGTTTTCTCAGTACTGTTTACAAATGTCTTCAATTTTGAGTGATACCGAAACTAAAGCGTTTCTCCTCGTCCGGGCAGATGAAGATATTTGTCAACAGCTTTTAAAGGTCACTTTCGGTTAATGACATCATCACAGAGTTTACCGGTATGTCGGGACTGATGTGTGAATGGTCTGTTGCCGGTAAAAAGTCAGAACGCTGTTGCTTGTGAGAACAGCACATTTTTGAATTTACCGGTAAAGGTAAAATTTTACAGTAATTTACCGGGATTGCTATGTGAAATTGCGGTATTGTTTCTTGATGCAAATTTGAGCCGCTGCTCTGCAAAACAAAAATATGTTTTTTTTTTTTACATTATTTTTGTCTTCTCCTATGTAAATAACTGAACATATAAGAGTTCAGATGCAAAATCCTCTAAGTGCCATTTGAAATTTTCTTCTAGAATGATCATTTTTATCAAGCTTGTATATTTAAGTTCAGTAGTTTCAATAATACTTTGGTACCTAGTTAACCGTTCTCCGAGATTTGTTATCATAATAATATAATAATCAAAGATAATCAAATGCAAAGAGTTTAATCTCAAAAACCTGTTAAGTGTATAACGTTAGTGTATGGGGGCATTTATTAAGTAAAAAGAAATCACTAGTTAATACCACTAACAAGGCTCAAAATAGCCCCACACTAACACAGTAACATAATGAATGGTCCCTACATGGAAAACGAAGCATTGAGAACTTTGTAAGTGTACAAACCGTTTAATAAAAGATACTTTATAAAGACAGTCCACTTCATGTATACAGACAGGAGCCATCTTTAGAAAACAGTCTCGACAAGTCGAACCACGAACTTCGTGCTGAGTGAGCTAACTGTATGAATTTCAGCGAACTTCTGAACTGTATGAACAGCGTTCGTGGATCGACTTATCGAGACTGTTTTCTCCTGCCTGTATACACGAAGTGAACTGTCTTTATAAAGTATCTTCTTATTAAACGGTCTGTACACTTGCAAAGTTCTCAAAGCTTCGTTTTGAATATAGGGACCCTCATTATGTTACTGTGTTCGTGTGGGGCTATTTTGAGCCTTGTTAGTGGTATTAACCAGCGATTTCTTTTTACATAATATATGCCCCCATATACTAGCATTATACGCAAAACAGTTTTTTGAGATAAAACTCTTTACATTCGATTATCATGAAAACAAATCTCAGAGAATGGTCGACAAGGTACCAATGTTTTATTAGACCAAAAGTTTTTTTTTTTTTTTTCTCCTTTAAATGCCAATTAATAAGTAATCTTCATTGCCTTTTAAGTGAAATTACTGAACTTAAATATACAAGCTTGATAAAAATGATCATTCTAGAAGAAAATTGCAAATGGCACTTAGATGCTTTTGCATCTGAACTCTTCATATTTAAAGCAGGATACACTTGTATGCTAATGGGTGAGGAAAAGAAATGTAATAATTATTTTTTACCCTATTGGCAAATTCTTTTTTAAGCGCAAACCTCAATAAACGTTGTTCCAGTTCTCTAATCTACACAGACCTTAATCCGTGGCCTTGTTAGGAGATGATCAACGATATTCTCTTCACCTCTGACTGGTCATAATGTTTTGGCTCATCAGTGTGTATATATGAACCTCTGCATTTCAGAGCAGTTACACAGGATGACGTACTTATGTTGTGTGTATGTGTCTTTGTTTCAGAGTTCGGCTCTCCGGTTCAGCCCGGCCGACCCACAGATCCGAACCTCATCCCCAGCGCCCCTTCCAAACCGGAGGTCACAGACGTCAGCCGCACCTCAGTGTCTCTGTCCTGGAAGCCCAACCTGAACACTGGAGCCACGCCCACCTCTTATGTGATAGAGGCCTTCAGGTGGCATCATCAGTTTTGACTGTATACTTATTTGTCACTGGTTGGTTTGGTTGTACAAGCGTGTGTTTTACAACCTTTGTAAATACAGTTCACAAGCTAATGGGGGTTCTGTAAATACCAAGTCCATTTGCTGCGGCATGTCATAAATAATCAAACCCATGTCCGCGTTTTTCTATAAGCCCGGCATTTTGCGGTAACCTCATTTTTTAGTATAATGTTTGTAGTCAAGATATTTCGATATAAAGTTTGGGCTGCAGTAATTTGCAGTATAAATACTGATGTTTGATGTGTGTATGGACGGCAGCCATGCGGCGGGCAGCAGCTGGCAGACGCTCGCGGATCACGTGAAGACCGAGAGCTTCGTCCTGAAGAATCTGAAGCCCAGCGCCGTCTACCTGTTCCTGGTCAGAGCCGCCAATGCGTACGGCCTGAGCGACCCCAGCCCCATCAGCGACGCTGTCAAAACACAAGGTCAGTTCACCTTTGACCTCACAGACAAGCATCCTGTCACTGCATATGTGCATATGCATATGTTTAGAAACATATATGCATGTATTACATTTTTTTTTGTGTGTGGTTTGTGTTTATGCGAGTAGACGTCCCACCAACCAGTCAGGGAGTGGAGCATGGCCAGATCCAGAGGGAACTAGGAGATGTTGTCATTCACCTCCACAATCCCACAATTCTCTCATCGTCCTCCGTCAGAGTCCAGTGGACTGTAAGTGCCGCCGCATTTTCTTTTAAAAGGACAGTTCGCACAAAAATTAAAATTTTGTTTGGTCAAAACCAGCGTTGCGGAAAGGTACTTTTAACGCGTGACATTATTGCATTACGCCCTGAAAATGTAAGTTGCGCAATCGAAAAGTTCATTTTCTTAACCCACTGGCAAATGGCACGTACATTTCACACATTTTGTGGTAGTGAACAAATGAATCTTTGTTCAAACAGCTGAAGTCGAGGTTAAATCCGTCCAGACTTTCACCTCACTAACACAGGCACCCACAAACAGAAATATTCCCAGCATGCTTCCTTCTTAACATGTTGTGTTGTTTGCACTTTATACGTATTTAATCAAAAACAGCTGAAACGACATCTGCTTTTATTGGGGCGGATCAAGAATTGATTAAAGTCTTTACAAGCGTGTTCAGTTCTCCCCCCTCCACCGCCATATGGACTGATCCCAGCGCTGAACACCTCTGGTAGAAAAATCCCATATAAAATATACTTTACAATAATGTATTAACTAACGTGAACTAATAATGCGCAATACATTTGTTACAGTTTTTATTTATTCATCTTTGTTAATATTAGTTAATAAAATTAGGGCTGTCAAACGATTAATCGCGATTAAATCGCATCCAAAATAAAAGTTTGTGTTTACATAATATATGTGGGTGCACTGTGTATAATTATTTTGTATATATATATATATATAAATACACACATATGCATGTATATTTGAGAAAAAAAATTATTTATATATAAAATATTTATATATAATATAAATTATATATAAATATATATACAGTATACACATCAAAATATTCCTTAAATATATATATATATATACACAGTGCACCCACACATATTATGTAAACACAAACTTTTATTTTGGATGCGATTAATCGCGATTAATCGTTTGACAGCCCTAATAAAAATCCAGCTGTTCATTGTTTTGTTCTTGTTAGTACACAGGTCATTAACTAATGTTAACAAATGAAGAGTTCAGATGCAAAAGCCTCTAAGTGCCATTTGAAATTTTCTTCTAGAATGATCATTTTTATCAAGCTTGTATATTTAAGTTCAGTGATTTCACTTAAATGGCAATGATAATTACCTATTAATTGTTATTTAAGTGAAATTACTGAACTTAAATATACAAGTTTGACAAAAAATCATCATTAAAGAAGAAAATTTCAAATGGCATTGACTTTTGCATCTGAACTCTTCAAATACAACCTTTTATTGTAATCATTTATTAGTAAATGTTGAAATTAATATTAACTAATATTAATAAATGCCAAAGACATATTGTTCATTCTTAGTTCATGTTAACTAATGAACCTTATTGTAAAGTGTTACCGCAAATACCTTCAGATAAAAAGTTAGAAGCAATTAAAAGCATTTTTGCAAATTAAACATATAATTTTTTTTTAAGTGCTCCACAAAAAATTATTACAATTTAACGGTATTCAGAACAGAACATAAATATTAAGTGGTATGCATTACAAACAATACTTATAGTCCAAAGTTATAGTACATAAATAAAAATTACAAATATGTTTGATAATAAAGCATAGTTTAGCTAACTTAACACAAAAACTAAAACCTACAGCTTCCTAGTGTCCTAGTACTGGGTGATCCTTAATTTTGGCCATGTGCTTTCGTGTAGGTGGAGCAGCAGTCTCAGTACATCCAGGGCTATAAGGTGATGTACCGGCCATCCCCGGAGGGCGCTCAGCAGCGTGTGGAGTGGGGCATGTTTGAGGTTCGAACCCTGGGGGAACACAGCGCAGTCGTCACCCAGCTCAAGAAGGGCGTGACCTATGAGTTCAAAGTTCGACCTTTCTTCAACGAGTTCCAAGGCACCGACAGCGACATCAAAGTGGGCAAGACCCTCGAGGAAGGTGAGGAGAGCTTTCCGCCCATCCAACCTTGTGCTCTGTGTGCTTTAAAGCATAATGTCCCACAATGTTCCTTTCTCATGGGATGTCAAATGTGATGTGACAAATGAATGGGATTTGCTGACTTGCATGTTTAAATATTTGGATTTCAGACACAATTTTTATACTTTTTTTAATGTTATATATATATATATATATATATATATATATATATTAGTGCTGTCAATCAGTTATTCAGTCAAGAGCAGTGAGTGATTTGCTTTTTTTTTGTTTCTCTAATTACCCTTAAAGGAGTAGTTCACTTAAAAAAAAAAACAAAAAAAAACTTTTGCTGATAATTTACTCATCCTCATGTCAACAAAGATGTCCACGTCTTTCTTTCTTCAGTCGAAAAGAAATTAAGGTTTTTGATGAAAACATTCCAGGATTTTCTCCATATAATGGACTTCATTGGGAACCAAACGGTTCAAAATAAAACAAATCTTTTTTTCGAGTAATTTCGTTTGTTGAATTAACCAAATGACACGAAAAAAGATTTGTTCATTTTGATGGACGAGTTTGAAAAGGAGAGTCATGACCGCACATCACAGAACAGAGCAAGGCGAGCATTTGAGCTTATAAAACTTAAACTTTTTTCTTTTATTTTTGAAATGACCGATCGTTTCGCTAGATAAGACCCTTATTCATCGTCTGGTGTCATTTAAAGCCATTTGAAGCTGCAAAAAAAACCTCTTGGACCTTGAACCGTTTGGTTCCCAATGAAATCCATTATATAAACCTTAATTTTTTTTCGACTGAAGAAAGAAAGACGTGGACATCTTGGATGACATGGGGGTGAGTAAATTATCAGCAAAAGCTTTTTTTAAAAGTGAACTACTCCTTTAATGACAGACAGCAGCAAGTTTATTAGGCTGCTGTCACTTTAAGATCCAAAAGTACATGACACGCGGATATGATGCACATACGATTTTCTCACAACTCATGTTATTGTAAGACTTTTTTAACTCATTTAAGACTGCTTTAATGAGGATACTCCACAAAACTTGCACTTTGGCATCATTTGTAAGTCTTTGTCCGTTCAGGATTGTTTCGATAACAGTTACAGGCTACATTCGGCAGAGTGAGGAAGGCGTTCGCCTGCATTCAGTAGTTCTCGTTTATGTTAACGTGTGGTCTGTGGCCCATGAGGGAGGGCAAAGCATGCCATTTAGAAAAGCTTCAGGCAAGCCAAGCACCCGACAACGAGAAGCCAAAAAAGCGCAAGCTCAAACGACTGCTGTGCTAATTGTTCTGAGGGTGTGTCCGTCTGTGGCTCTGGAGAACGCCAGCGAGTTCGCTTTGCTCCAACTTTTCCTGTCTGTGCGTCTGCTTTTTCAAGTTTGAAACACGAAATTGAAATGACGGCAAACGCAAAACAAATGTTTCACTCCAGGCCTTTGTGTTAACAGTGATGTCTGTATTAAGTGGATAATAGTTATGTGAAGTACACTGACAACATTCTGTTCACCCTGAGCTCAAGTCGGCAGCTGGCACTGCGAGGCCCGAATCATGTTGCTTGGCAGTCGCCGCTCATTATTTAAGTTCACTAATACCGCTGAGTGTGTACTATTAAAATGAGTGCTTACATGTGTTTCGGAGAACACACACATACACAAGCTATCGCACTGAGACATATAGTCCATATGCATGTGTACATAATGTTTGTTTATCAATGCATACATGTACCATGTGCATAATTGAAGGTTTTGTGTAGAATATTGTAAGATGTGTGTAACATCCCGCTCTCCCGTGTCTCTTATCGCAGCGCCCAGTGCCGCTCCCCGGGGGGTCACTGTAACAGGAAGCGGAGACAACGGCACAGCGATCCTGGTATCCTGGCAACCGCCCCCAGAGGAGGAGCAGAACGGCCTGGTGCAGGAGTATAAGGTACGAACCAGAGGAAACAGACAATGAGAGAGGCAGACAAAGAGAGCGTGTGGGGGGAAACAATAGAGTGATGGATGGAAGGAAATAGGAAGTGGAAGAGGAAATTATATTTACTGGGTCACAGTCCGTTCGTTTTATGATGCGCTGGTGGTGAAGGGATGGAGAGAGTTTAGTGGATACTGGTTTGATTTTCTTTGAGGGGTTTTTAGTTGTTGTGACATGCTGCCATCTAGTGGTTAACATAAGGTGTTACCTCGACCTTCGCCAGACAGATGCGCTCACAGAACAGACGGGGAGTATAGGCTCATATTGGGTATTTCCCTATCCTGGATAACAATAAGCCAAAACATTTCCTTATAAGCGTGCTTTGATATATTTGTAGGTTTATATACTGTATATATATATATATATATATATATATATATATATATTGCTATGTAGTAAGTGTATATATTAACAGCTATATATATATATATATATATATATATATATATATATATAGGAAATCATTCCCGCAATCATAATTGTATGTCTAGTCATATTGAAAAAGTACATACTAGCAAAGGGGGCACTAAAAGACACAATAAAGCGTCTACAAATAAAAATCTGATTTATACTTTTTTTTTTTTTTTTTTTTTAGGAAAAATAACGGACCAAAAGGGAACATTTTGCCACATTAAGTAGTCAAATGGATATTTATTTTGATCAAAAAATGGTCAAAAAGAGCATCAATAAAATAATAAAAATAAAATAATAATAAAATAATAAAAAAATAATAATAATAAAAAAAAATATATCTATATATATATATATATATATATTGCTATGAAGAGTATAAAAAAAGGTTTTTATTATTATTTTATTTTTATTATTTTATTGATGCTCTTTTTGACCATTTTTTTGATCAAAATATCCATTTGACCGCTTAATGTGGCAGAATGTTCCCTTTTGGTATGCTATATTTCCAAAATAATTTACATAAATCAGATTTTTATTTGTAGACGCTTTGTGTTTTTGCTAGTATGTACTTTTGCAATATGACTAGACATACAATTATGATTGCGGGAACGATTTCCTAGTGTATACTCTTCGTCCTTTATTCTCTTGCATGTCTTGATGTGCTTTTCTTGTCCAAACAAGATAACGGAGCCCGTCTCATACGAAATTCCTCTCAGGCGCTCAGATTTTAATGGGTTTGCGTCGTTTCAGCGTTTAGTTCGTAGGCCGCGGCTGACGGGAAGAGGCTCGGTTTGAGTCGCTCGGTCCCAGTTAATTTTCCAGGTAAATGTTTTCAGGCAGTGTAAGAGAAGGTAGTGAGTAATTTCATGCTTGTTAAATTGGGCGGAGGAGGATTTTTCACTAATCACTTTTCTCGTACACTTATTTTTTTTTCTGCCCCGTTGTGCCTCGGGAGAACTTCAGTCCTTTCTCGTTAGATCACTTTCGCTCTTTTTACACTTAATCCACTTTTTTTTTTTTTGAAGCCTTCAGGGATGTCTAAATCTGGTTAGCGTTTGTGAAAAGATGGACGTCAGCATGGAAAAACATGTAAAAGGGCATTTTGTTTCTATGTGTGATACCGTTGAGCTCAGTGTAGGCCTGTGCGCTGACCCTATAATGGAAGTTAGGCGGTCAGAGAGGGGGCTAGATCACATTTCACTCCGGTGAATGGGACCCCTGCCGGGCCTGTGATTGTGTTAGGGTGAGGGTGGCTGATCCAAGCTCTGCTCACACACAGGGTCGCACACACACTTTGACGCTCATTTGGACGGCACGGCTGGCTGAGCTTCCCGAGAGGAGGAAACAGACCAGGGTTCACTGCGCGCAATGAAAACAAAGAAAACTGCATTTTCATGTCAGGGAAATACAGAGGGAATGTCGGCACCACAGATAGGGAGTGTTGTTGTAGGTGGTGAATCTTGTTTTCATGACACGTCTCAACTTTAGCGCTACATGATAGTGTGTGAATTTATCTTGGACGACTGACGGCAAGGTTGCCAGATCTGCGTTACAAAACTAGCGTAACGTCCATATCCCGTATATCATAATTAAAAATATGCCATTTCTATACCTAACGTACATATTTCACAATCACTGGTATGCAAAGTAAACACCACAATATCATAACGTTTTTCAATACAAGCATTTCAGTCAAATTTAAAAGGGCAGTCAACATTTTCAGACGAGAGATATTTGTACGTAACATTAGATAAAGTTATGTGTATGTTGTCTGTCTGTTTGAATTGGACAAAAATTAATTGATGCTTTTTGGATATTTTGATCATGCTTGAGATTAGTTTTTAGACACAAATATAATAATACAAATTTTTACACACACCTGTAGGACAGTTAATTTATGCTAAATATTTTAAAATATTTAGTTCTAAAGACCTGTAATGCTTGATTTTTTTTTTTTTTTAGACAAAATATATAAATCAATAAATTAATTAATACTAATACACATATGTTTACACAAAAGTTTGGACTCACCAGAGTGAATTTATGCTTCTCTTGAAATAAAAAAAAAAAAAAAAAAAAAAAAATTGTTCTAAAGACTTCTTTAAATGCTTGAAAATATTTTTTAGACAAAATATAAAAATTAATTACTAAAAAAAGACAAATTTTTTACACAAAGGTTTGGTCTCATCTGAGTGAATGTATGCTTCTCTTGATATTAAATATCTCTTGATATGAAATATTTTGTTCTAAAGACTTCTTTAAATGCTTGAAAATTTCTTTTCATACAAAATATACAAATAAATTAATTAAAAAAATATATATATTTTTACACAAATGTTTGGACTCACCAGAGTGAATTTCTGCTTATTTTAATACTAAACATATTTTTGTTCTACAGACTTCTTTAAATATATATATACGCAAAGGTTTGGTCTCATCTGAGTGAATTTATTCTTTATTCTTCTCTTGATATTAAAACTATTTTGTTCAAAATACTTCTTTAAATGCTTGAAATTAGTTTTTTAAAACAAAATATACAATTAAATTATTAAAAATAATAATAATTTTACACAAATGTTTGGACAAACTTTACTAAATGTATTCTTCTCATGATTAAACGTGCTACATAATTCCGATACTTCCATTTGTGTTATTTCAAAGTTTTAAAGACTTTTCTTGAAGAAGTGCTAAAATAGCATGCCTTTTGACCAGTTAGTCTGTGTAAGCATCACTTTAAAAGGTTCACTCGTTCAGAACAGACTTGTTATTCGACACAAGTCATTTTTTATGAAGTGCTAAACGCTCGTCTCCTGTCTTGTTTTCTTCACGTTTCCTCCCTCAGATCTGGTGTCTTGGTAACGAAAGCCGATACCACATCAACCGCACAGTGGACGGTTCTACACACTCGCTTCTGATTCCCGGCCTGGTCGCAGGCGTCACGTACAGGGTAGAGGTGGCAGCCGGCACCGGGGCCGGTCCCGGGGTCAAGAGCGAGGCCACGTCCTTCCAGCTGGGTGAGTCGGATTTATGTTGTTCTGATTGAATACGGCCCTTTGTAAAACCCGGCTGTGTTATTATGACTGGAAAGGTTGATGATAATGGACTGAGCCTTCCCATTAAAAAAAAAAATGCACAGTGAATGGCACGGTTGTAACTTGCCTTGTGGTTAGCCTCCAAAATGTATGTAATTTACAAAAAAAGAGTTCTCATCGGAGAATAAAGGAGACACAAGGTGCATTTTAAAGCCTTTAATTGCTTTAAAAGTTTGTTTCTTCATAAACTCACCCGCTTTAACTTGTTCAGCCTCAAGACATCGGTGACAACGGTTAAACCGTTCTGAATGGAAATGATTGTGGCACAGCCTGGTTTTTTGCCAGTGCATACAGGTGGATAATAGGCCATCCGGTTATGCAAATCTGATTTTAATAAAACGTCAATCACAGTGCCGTCAGAGACTATTTTATAGTCAGACGTCTGACAGAAAGAGATTAAATAGTATTCTGAAACCGTGATGGATGCACATAGAGAGACACGTCCATTAAAGTACACAAAGGAAAACAGTTGATCACTTTTCGAACTTACAGTAAATGTTCTCAATTGTAGAATGAGCTGGTTTTTACGGAAACCCTGAACCGCAACGTAAAAAAAAATCTGTAAAAAAAAAATAAAATATATATATATATATATATATATATATTTGTAAAAAAAAAAAACGTCTCGGTTACGTATGTAACCCTCGTTCCCTGAGTAGGGAACGGAGACGTTACGTCAGAAGTGACGGAGATTGGGGGTTTCGCATAGAAAGCCAATCCTCTTCGAGTATTTAAACACGAGCCAATGGCATGCAATGCCTTGGGGCTGCGGAAATTTGCATAGCGTACTCCGCCCTACTCCGTGAGTATAAAAGGAGGAAGTGAACGCAACCGCAGTATGTCTTCGCTGAGGAGCCAAGACAGAACTCGGCATCTACCCAGCGATACAGCAGAAGTGGCAGGGAGACGTAACGTCTCCGTTCCCTACTCAGGGAACGAGGGTTACATACGTAACCGAGACGTTCCCTTTCGTAGTCACTTCGAGTTACGTCAGAAGTGACGGAGATTGGGGGTCTGTGCCATCACGCCAACTTCAGGCTGTCTTCCAGTGCCCTGCGAAAGTCTAAACCCCCGAGCCTTACCTGTTTTCCTTAGGGGATCCGACTTAGACACAGGATTACCAAGGTACACTGGGAAACATATCCCGAAGGGGACATGCTACCAGCTGCCTACCGAAGGGAGGACTTACGAATACACATATGGCCACATAGGAACACATATGGAATCACTGGAGCACCAACCGCAGGTGGCTACTAATTTCAGCTCCAGGGGTGGCAGATGGCTTGCCAAGGGAAGACACATGCTCAGAGAGGCTTACAGTGGATAATACACATGAGACGGTTACCAGGGGGGAACCGTACGCATGGAGGCACCTAGCCAGCATCCAGAGCCACAGCAGTGGTGCCCGCATCGTCGGTGCTGGAGGACTCAAGGCTTCAATGGAAGAACTGAGGAAATATCGCACTTATCCAGTCCGGGGAGTGGAGTGGCGAGCAAGCGAAGACACCTGAGCGGATCCAGAACTGGCCGAAACGAGTACGTGAGAGGATACCGGCTCAATTCGCAGATTATAGAATCTGGCGAAGGTGTTGGGTGTCGCCCAGCCTGCAGCTCTGCAGATGTCTGTTAGCGAGGCACCGTGCGCTAAAGCCCAAGAGGAGGCCACACTCCGAGTGGAATGGGCCGTCACACCAAGGGGGCACGGAAGGCCTTGCTGCTGGTAAGACAAAGCAATGGCATCCACAATCCAGTGGGACAGCCGTTGCTTTGAGAGAGCCCTTCCCTTCTGGCTCCCTCCATGACAGACAAAGAGCTGGTCTGAGGTCCTGAAACACTGCGTTCTGTCGACATAGGTGCGGAGAGCACGTACCGGACAGAGCAGTGCCAAGGCTGGGTCTGCCTCCTCCGGGGGCAGCGCTTGCAGGTTCACCACCTGGTCCCGGAAGGGAGTGGTGGGAACCTTGGGCACATATCCAGGCCGGGGTCTCAGGATCACGTGAGAGTAGCCGGCCCGAACTCCAGGCACGCTTCGTCAACGGAGAATGCGTGCAGGTCCCCCACCCTCTTGATGGAGGCCAATGCAACCAGGAGTGCTGTCTTCAAGGACAGAAACTTTAACTCTACCGATTGCAAAGGCTCAACGGGATGCCTCTGCAGAGCACTTAAAACTACCGAGAGGTCCCAAGAGGGTACGAGGGGAGGACGAGGCGGATGCAGCCTCCTCGCTCCCCTCAGGAACCTGATGACCAGGTCGTGCTTCCCTAAGGACTTACCTTCTACTGCTTCATGAGAAGCGGCAATGGCCGCGACGTAAACCTTAAGGGTGGAGGGCGACAGCCTGCGCTCCAACCCTTCTTGCAGGAAGGAAAGCACGACACTGATCGAACATCTCCGGGGGTCTTCTCCGCGAGAAGAGCACCAATTGACGAAGAGGTTCCACTTCAACGCATAAAGGTGTCTCGTGGACGACGCTCTTGCGGAAGTGATGGTTGCCGCCACCGCAGGTGGCAGCGAACTCAAACCTGCCTCGTGCCGTCCAGGAGCCACACGTGCAGCCTCCAAGATCGGGACGAGGGTGCCACAGAGTGCCCCGTCTCTGAGAGAGTATCTTGTCTCAGAGGAATAGGCCAAGGAGGTGCTGTCGCGAGGAGCAAGAGATCGGAGAACCACGTCTTGGTGGGCCAGTAGGGGCTACCAGCAAGACCTGCTCCTCGTCCTCCTTGATCTTGCACAACACCCGTGCAAGGAGGCTCACTGGGGGAAACGCATACTTGCGTGGGCCCGTGGCCAGCTGTGCGCCAGCGCATCCGAGCCGAGAGTGCCGCGGGTCAGAGAATAAAACTGGGCGCAGTGGGACGAGTCCCGAGAGGCGAACAGGTCTATCTGTGCCTCCCCGAACTCGTCCCAATCAGCTGGACCGACTGGGGATGGAGTCGCCATTCGCCGGAGAGGGGACGGACCCGGGACAGCTCGTCGGCTGCCCAGTTCCGGTCTCCAGGAATGTAACTGCACGAAGGGACCTCAGGTGCTTCTGACTCCATATCAAGAGGTGGCGGGCGAGCTGCGACAACTGGCGTGAGCGTAGACCCCCCTGGTGGTTGATGTACGCTACTGCCGTAGTGTTGTCTGAGCGGAAAAGGACATGCTGGCCCTTGAGCAACGCTCGGAAGCGGTGCAGGGCGAGCCGTACTGCCAACAGCTCGAGGCAATTGATGTGCCTGAGGCGCTGGGCTCCTGTCCAGGAACCGGCGGCTGCATGCCCATTGCACATGGCACCCCAACCCGTGGTAGATGCATCCGTGGAGACGACGAGATGTCTGGAAACTCGCTGAATAGGGACACCTGTCCGTAAAAAGCTGAGGTTCGACCACGGGAAGAAGGTTCGCCGGCATGCCGGAGTCACTGGGACTCGGAGCGAGCCGCGATGCCATGCCCACCTCGGGACTCGATCGCGAAGCCACAGCTGAAGCGGTCTCATATGAAGCAAACCGAGCGGCGTTGCCGCGGCCGCGGATGCCATATGCCCCAGGAGCCTCTGAAAAGTTTCAGTGGAACCGCACTCTTGCCCTCGAACTGACGAAGGCAAGCCAGCAGTGAGTGCGCGCGCTCGTTCGTGAGCTGCGCGGACATGGCGACCGAGTCTATCTCCATGCCGAGAAAAGAGATCCTCTGCACGGGGCAAAGTTGCTCTTTTCCCGGTTGACCCGAAGGCCCAAACGGGCTAGGTGCCGGAGCACCAAGTCTCTGTGTTCGCAAAGCTGAGCTCGAGAGTGTGCTAGTATCAGCCAGTCGTCGAGGTAATTCAGGATGCGAACCCCGTGTTCGCGAAGGGGAACAAGGGCTGCCTCGACGATCTTCGTGAAGACGCGAGGGACAGAGCTAACCCGAATGGGAGAACGGCGTACTGATATGCCTGGCCCTCGAAGGCAAACCGAAGAAACGGTCTGTGTCGAGGTAAGATGGACACATGGAAGTACGCGTCCTTCAGGTCGATCGCTGCAAACCAATCCTGATACCGAACACATTCGAAAATGCGTTTGGCCGTGAGCATCTTGAACGGTAGTCGATGGAGAGAACGGTTCAAAATGCGCAGGTCCAGGATCGGTCGTAACCCACCGGTCTTCTTGGGGACAATGAAGTAGGGGCTGTAAAACCCGGACTCCACCTCGGCTGGAGGGACCGTCTCGATTGCACCCTTCGCCAGCAGGGTCGCAATCTCCGCTCTCAGGAGTGGGGCATTAGCCACCAACTATCGTGGAGCGAACTCCCCTGAAGCGGGGAGGAGACCGTGCGAACTGAATCGCGTAGCCGAATCTGATCATTCTGATGACCCAGCGGGATATCCCGGGAAGCACTAGCCAGGCTTCCAGGAAGTGAGCCAACGGGGTCATGTGAACCACAGACGTCCCCCGGAGGGGCAGCGTGGCGGGTCGACTGGCACGCGTGCAGGGATGACCCAGCTCGGATGCGTCGAAGCCCGCTCCCCGACGGAAGGGACCAGGGAAAGCGGAGCGTTCCACGGGGGTCCGTTCCGCCGGGGGTCTGGCGACAGAGGGGGAAGGGATTGGCGTAGCCCGGGGACGACACTCGCACCCTTCCGCACCCTCAGAGACAGAGAGGAATGTGTGGGCTGACGCACTGGACGTCGTCGAGCGCACTCATTCCAGTCTGTGGGCTCAGTGATGATGTCAAGTCTTTCTTAACCAACTCAGGGCGCTGCCCACCCGTGGGCGAGCAGCGGGAACTGAAAACGAAAGATTTTCCCCCGGCCCTCCACCGGGGGCAGGAGGGGGCCTGCTCCCGCCTCCTGGGGAAAAACTCAACTCCATCACTGAGCAGCCCGTATCAGGATCATCGCTTACCTGGCGTTTAGCGGGGTGTGCGGCCTGAGGGGGCTGTGACGCCTGCCGGCGGCCTCCTCCACGCCGTGGCCCGGATGAAGGCTGCTGCTGGCGGGGCGGGAGGCAGGGGAGCCGCGGGGGGCGTCCTCGGCGGCGAGCAGCGGGAGGCATCTGTGCCGACGACTGGGTGGAGGCAGCAGCTGGTCGTCGGGGCAGAACATGTTTGATTGCCTCCGTCTGCTCCTGGGCAGTGGAGACTGCTGGGCAAGAGTTCTCGACTGCACCGCCAAAAAAGGCCAACCTGGGAGAGAAGGGCGTCGAGCAGACGAATCCGCTCAGCGCTCCGAGTGTCTGCCAGGTTGACGCTCCTGGACCACACTAGTGGCCATCACCTGACCAACGGCGCGAGCGGCCACTTTCGTTGCCCTTTTGAGAGCAAGGTCAGTGGCGGACCGCAAATCTTCGAATGCCGTTGGATCAGTCCCGCCCTCGAGCATATCTCTGAGCATCTGCGCTTGCACAGTGCTCATCGCATGCAAAGCGGAGGCCGCCCGTCCCGCCGCTCTATAGGAACGCGCCGCCATGGCAGACGAGAACCTACAGGCTTTGGATGGGTGCCTAGGAGGACCACGGAGGAGGCGCCCTGTGGACACAGCTGTATCGCAACAGAACGCTCCAGCGGGGGCATCCCAGTGCACCCACGGGCG